TGTGTGTGTAAAGACGAGCTCAGATATTATCCCCGATCAATTTATCAAAAAAACACTAATTTTTAAGGTTGGTTCGCGGACGCGCAAACTTAATGTAGAGCGTGAGTGACGTCACCGCTAGTATGAGACGTCTATCTGTATAATCTCCGACTTTGCAGCCAGGGCCTGATAGACAACCGCAGTAACGTCGTTTTTCATACTTAGGTATTCTGTTTGCGCCAAAGCAGAACACCCACTCATCTTGTGTTGGAGGGTTTCGCCGGGTTGATTGCAAAGGCGGCAGCGGTCCTCTACACTCATATCCCCAATTACATACCTTTGATATGTAATGAGAAAAGACGAAGCCTTCTGTCTCAGCGAAGAGGCGTGATTTCGTTAGCTAGGAAACTGACAATCTCATATTCACGCCGTTTCCTTTGAGTTCAGCAATATACCTGCCGTGCAAACGTTTCTGGGTCCACTCAGTCTATCTTCATTCGTGATATATGGTCTTTCAGAGTCCGCTTGATTCAGCTGCATTGGGATAAAATTAGTGTACGTGGGGCTTGCATGACAGTTGTTTGCTTCATGCATGACAGTTGTTTTCTGGAAAAAGTATTTGCGAAGATTGTTGGTTTTCTTCTCACACAAGGACATAAAATTCAGAAGCGCTCTACTTCCTGCGTTCCGAGGTAAGTATAGTCTTGCCATTGAACTGTTGGGATGGTGCATTCGATACTTGGTAAGAGTGGTCCTAACTTTTCGATTAAGCTGCTGCAGTGCAGAACACCAATGTATAGACAGCAACAGCTGCTGCCGATGCGTTGATAGCTGATATGAGGTTCTTTCCACATAAAGGAGTTTTACGTCTTTGTGAGACTCTTTGAACAACTTTATTTTTAAAATCACACCTCATCTTTGATTCACTTGTGCTCAAAAGTTGGTGCAGGCCTTAATATTTATAGGTATTCCCTTGCCCAAGTTCTTGGATATTTGTGCCACATGTGAGAATGAGTTTGTCAGGATCAAGGTTTTCCTCCCTTTTCACGTGCACTGCAGCGCATTTATCAATGCCAAACTCCACACAAATAGAGTTGCTAAGGAACATAGCAAGTTCAAGCAACGAGGAAAGCTGGTTATTATCTCTGCCGTACAGCTTGAGAATGTCCATATAGAACTGATGATTAATGAGGATATGGGGATTTTTGGTGATTTAATATCCCATCCCTGAATCTCTTAACATTCTGCTGAGAGTGTTCAAAGCTAGGGAGAACCAAAACCTGCAAAACCTTGCAAAACCTTTCAGAGTATAGAGAGACGAAAATCACTTTAAAAGAATGTATTAAATCATCTGGCAAAGAGGTTGAAGTCTAGGCTGAATAAAATGGTTCGAGAATGGAGAGGAAGAGGAGTAACGCTGAAAGGGAAAAGGAACGAAGCCTGGAAGAAGCTGGAGTTTGCAAGCCTGAGGAACGGAACAATAACCAAATTAAGAAACTAATGTCGCAGTATTATTATAAAAATTGTACCCAACATGCAAGAAATGAAAAGTGCAATATACGTCCCCTGATGATGCTCCTAAACATTTCAAATGTCCTGGTGAAGCAGAGTCATGGTGTTTTTATGACATAGCACTTGCTGCACGCACCAAATTGAGGAGCAGACTCGTACAAGTGCTAGAAGGTGGACAATGGATCTTTCGACGAAGCACATGAACTGCGTAATCCGGCGTCCTCATTTCGCGGCGCCTATCATTCGAGAAGTTTCATCCCGATTCTCCCCATTCTCTCTTTAGGATTCGTGCGAATTGTTCTTTTGAAAAAAAATTGTCTGAAAAGTACTACATGTTTTTGTTGGTGCTGCGTGCGCACAGGGCCTGCGGCTGGAATCGGTGCACGCGCAATTCACTGCCTGGGCGGCCCCCGCTGACGTGGCAGAGGCGGCTCTCATGCTCCACACGAACGGGCTCTGGACGAAGGAGCTACGAGTGAGTGGCGTCAACTGGCCACGCGACGTCATTCTACCACACATGCCTCAACTGCGGGCCCTAAGTTTCACGCACAGCTTTTTGGACTCCCTTCAATCCGGTACGACGACTTAGTACATTTATTTATTTATTTAGTTAGTTATTTATTTAGTTAGTGTTTATTTCTTTGTATTTGTTTATTTCTTTTTTATTTGTTTATTTATTTACTTATTTACATTGGCTGGCAAAAAAGGTGTTGAAAAAGAATATCACATTAGGGAGAAATATCTGCACACGACATCATGAAATGTGGAGGTAAAAGGATTTTCACACTATTGTCGACACTGTTAACTGGGTCGAGAACAGTCACTGTCTGGAGCGGAATTCTAGCGGTCGGCTGCTCTTATCGGTAGTTTTACGTGATTTCTCCGATCAAAAATAGGTTAATGCTGGAGCATTCTAACAAACGGGAAAATGCTGGAGCCCTAACAAACGGACCACGGCCGCGCGCGTCGTCACCTTCCTCTTCCTTGTATCCCCACCCCTTACACACACATTCTCACACTAACATGCACTACACTATCACACATACCAGGAGACCGGTCGGATAACTTGGCGTCGGATATGTTGGCATCACAACATGCATCACCACTGTCTCTATCATACTCTTACGTTGTTCTGATCGCCACGTGGTAGACATTCATCACTGGCGAAGATTCCTTTCAATATAGTGCACTGTCGTTACCTTCCTTATTCATTCTACGTTTAGTTCGTAATTTTTCGTCATGTTCATCACCTTACACTCTCGGCAATCCTATTCGTCGTACTTATTCCGACTTATTACCGTTTTTGATTCAACATCCATTCCACCTTTTCTTATATACTCGCCTGCCCTCCTCGCTGTTCGAGCTTGGGATGTGCGGAAGACCCGTTCTTCCTTTGTAGTTACCGGGGTTCGCGGCACCGGTTGGTTTGCGCGCGTCTTTTGAATTACTGCCTTAATTAATAAACATCTTTAATGAGACCGATCGGGTCCCAATATATATGTATATACGTTGAGAACACGTCGTCACCTTCCACGACGTTCCATCATTCAACAACCTGGTATGGTCAGGGCGGTTATACCCCACGAGAATTTCTTCTAGAGATTTCGTGCGACGTTCTTTCCGCCACTCCGTCATCGGGCCCTACCCGTTGGTTATTCTGGTTTTCCCTCCGAGGACAACCTGCTAGGGCATGGCATGGGAAACACACACACACACGCATGCAATAACAACGCTACGAATTCCTTTTGAACTATTGAATTTCATGCGATTTTTTTACATCAGTAAAAAACAACTAAATAATTTACAACGAAGAGTATAATTTCAATGGATTTGAAACAATGTTATATATATGCAGATGTCCCATTTAACTTAACAACTTGAAATAACTCTAAAAATACGTGATGTACGAAAAATTTAGCAAATCTTAAGTTTTAAAGGGAGAATCATTCTATGGTAAAATCAGCTCCCCCATGCCCCCAGCGGGTGGGGCGGTGGACAACATTGAAATCCTAAATAGAAACCCTCATTCTTTATTTTAGATTCAGATTCTACGGACAAAACCACATAAGTTTTGTCTGAAACGTTTTCTGATTTGTGATAGGTGGCGCTGCAATCACAAACATTTGATTTCGGAAGATTTTCGACTGTAATGTGAGTGGTTTTGAGCGTGGTCGATTATTTACGAGTGGTTAATAAAAAACAGTATTTTTACGGAAGTCAATATACTACTTTTGGCGTAACACAAGAACAACGACGTGGACGTAGTAGATTTCTGTTCCCTTTGGGGTGCTTGTTTTCAGTGAGTCCCCTTGCCGCTCACTATCGGAGTGCTGGTTTTAGATGATTATACAACTACCTCAGCATTTATTTAAAGTGCCCAAAATGATGGCTCTGATACTCAATGCAATTCGTACTACAAATAAACGAACACATATTATAAACATAACTGGTTTAATCGCGGCACAAGCGTCTATTATTCGTTGCATCACGTTTTCACGAGTAGAAGGTGTTTCCTTATAAACGATATCACAACCCCACAAAACAAATGTGGTGAGGTAAGGTCTGGTGATCTGGCTGGCCAGTGCACTGGTCCTTCTCTACTGATTCAACCATTATTGTAATCCCGATTCAATACCTCGCGTGCTACTAATGAGTAATATGCTGGGCAACCATCATGTTGAAACCACACGTTTTGTCGCACTTCCAAACTTACGTCTTCGAGCATTCTCGGTAATTCTTTATCAAGGTTTCGGTATTCAGTCACCATATTGATTACCGTCAATAATGTATGGTCCGATATGTTTATCGCCAGTTATTCCACACAAACGTAAATCGAGCAAGGTCACTCATGATTTACTTGTATAATCTAGAGTAAGCTTTCTACACTCCAAAAGTGCATGTTATGGCGGTTAACTTCACCGTGTTTTGTAAATGTTGATTCGTCAGAGAATAGTACTTGAGTAAAAAACTTCGGATTCGTTTGTATTCTCTGAACTGCCCATTGAAAAAACTGTAGTCGGTTTTGAAAGTCGTCAGTTAATTCCTGATGCAATGATACATGATGCAGATGGAATTTATGTATAATCGTACACTCATACGAGGAATACCTGATTGTTGAGATATTTCTCGAACACTCGCATGTGGATTATGAGCTACTGCAGCCAGTACTGATATTTGAATTTTTTCTCCAGTAGCAGAAACTCTGCGTGCTATTTTCTTCGGTTGTTCACTTCCGTCAGTAGATAATTGTTGAACAATTCTACGTATATATAATGTTGCTGGTATTGACAACTGCAAAATAGATAAACCAAACTTTCCTGGCATTTTTTATCCCAAAGCGTAACATCAGGTCTATGGCGATGGATTGTTCTCTCATAATACTGCGGTCCTCGAACAATGTATGGGACTCTCTTTCAAGTATAATTTCTGGATGACATTGGTAGTACGGTGTATCAATATCCTGCAGAAGACTATATTTCTTAGTAAGCTTGGCATGGATGACCCAGCACTCTAGTACGGATCTCGTTTTGTAGTATGTAGGGGCTAGTGCACTGCAACTCGAGATGGTATGCATGATGATATCATGATCTCTCCCACACATTCGGCACTCATCACTATGTATTTTCGAGTATTTAAATATTTATTTAATGTAGTTCTTCGTTGGGACAACTGATCTTGGATTGTCACCATAAAACCTTCACTCTCAGGGTACAAATATCCTAGGCTGAGTCATATGTACATTTCCCCGTCGACATTTGGGTTGGCAACTGCAACAGAATATGCACGGTGGATGGCTTTCTGTTTCCAAGAATCCATTTCTAGCCGAAAAGGTGACTGTAGGATTGATATGTTTTGTTGTTTTAGACTTAGGGTACTATAGTTGTCATCTGCCTGTATGACCACTTTGAGATCTGAGAAGTATTCACTGCAAAATACTTTGTCATGGCTGTTATCTGCTGATTGTGGAGGTTTGTCAACTTTACGATATCACGCTCTCCCATTTGTCAGTGTAATCCTCTGAATAGCGCTTCTTGGGTGGTGGCAACCAACACGTGTCACATGGACTCGCACCTGTGTTTCCATTTCCGCAAGATCTGTTGACTATCACGTGAGAATACCAATCGAAAATGTGATAATGGGAATTTCGTATGCGTTGATGGCAACCGCGAGGTTTCGAGAATTGAAAATTAACATTCTTAAAACTGCCTTGAGTGGGTTCGTGAGCTCAGTTTTAGCTTTCACTTTAGCTTGTGATGTGCTATCATACATCCCTGGTATATACCAAGATACTTGTATAATTCATTGGCTTCCAGAGCGGATATTACTCTCTACTTACAGTCTCGTATCTACCTTCATTGGTGGGTTTACCTTTTTGTATTTCTTGAATTTTGTATTTGTCAATCTCCTAATGATTATTAATGTTTTCGGAATATTCGTCAATGGTTTTTATTTCCATGTCTAAACCAAGCATCGTACCTGAGAATGGTTTATGTCATACATCTAGGCTAAGTGTGTTAATGGATCTTCTCAGTGCCTTTCCATTCGAGGGTAGGGATTGTGCTACATGTACTCTATATGACAACGAACGCCATATTTCTGTAAACTTTTGTTTTTACAAAAATGTAATTTTTTGACTTCTCTCATGTTAATATCAACTGGTTAATAATAACAATCAGCGGCAGTTTGTTCATATGATTGTATGAGTTATTTACATGTGCTTTAAATAATGTCCCATAAAGTTTCTCAAACACTCAATCATTGTCGGTGAAAACTAGCTTAAAATTCCACAATTTTCATATACGCTCAAACGCCATTTTCTCAAAAACTGCTCCAATTTTTTTCAAACTTTTCGATCGAATAGTGCTAATTGCACACTTTAAGTTCATTTCGGGGTATTTTTTGTATTTTAAATTCTTTTGTAATATTTTGAATTTATCTCTCACGCTTTCCACGTTTTCAGAAATTTGTAAAGGCAAATTTGTAAAGTATTGTATATGTGAGTTAATGTGCTTCGAATAATTTCTAATAAAGTTGTTGAAAATCTCAAAAATTTTCTGTGAAAAGGAGCTTCAAATTTCGAATTTACACTAGCGCAATTTTCTTAAAAACCGCTCCAAATTTTACAACGGAAATTTGCAGTGTAGGACGACGTTTTTACGGATTTTTAATATTCTTAAAATAATACTTCCGTTCAAAATAATAGTAGTATTAGGAAATCGAAAAATTAAGAAAATGCCAAAAAATGTACTTTGAGTGGCAATACATGGCAGCTGGCAAGAATATGAGCGGTGGCCATGGTGTAAGGGTGAGCATATCGGACTGTTAAACCCAATTTGACGGATTCAAACCCGATCAAAGCCGTGGATTTTTAAGAGCGAAAAAACCCTTCGTACGCCTGCCTTCTGAGGGGAAGTAAAGCCGTCTGTCTCATGTTAGTAGATTTACTTACATGTCAAAGATCCTCAAGCTAAATTCAAATTGCCTGTTTTGTCGCCGACGAATTACCTTCTTTCTCTTGGTGAAAGGAGCGTAGCGAAATTTGTGCGGTCAGACGGAAGAGCTTGCCTGATGGCCC